GGTGCGGGCCACCAAGCTAAACTGCCTGCTTTGCACCAGTCGATATAAATGAATGCCTAGGGTGGGAATCGTACCTAAAATTCGCTCCCGTAAGCCCGTACTTACTTGCTTAGCTTTATGTTTAAGACCCGAAAAGGATAATGTAACTGATTCTTATCAAAATTATTCCGTTTGTACTTAGTGTAGAACAAAAATTGCCGTAGGAAATTTTTTTATGAACTCAGAAAGTTAGGGCGGAGTAGGGTGTCAGACCCCAACTTTGGACCTATTTTTAAAAACAAATCTGTGCTATACCCCACCTTGATTTTTTTTTATAAAGCAGGTCTAAGAATCCAAACTTCCGTTTGCACGTAGTGTGAACATAAAAGTTCTTTTTTTAACTCAGAAATTGAGGGTTGATAGGGTGTCAGACCCCAACTTTGGACCTATTAAACAAAATCCGTGCTATATCCCACCTGGATTATTGGTCAAGCAGGCCTAAGGTCCCCAACTTCCATTTGCACCTAAATGTTTATGAACTCAGAAAGTAAGGGTGACGTAGGGTGTCATACCCCACTTTTGGACCTATTAAAAAAAAAGTCCTAAACCCCAACTGGATTTTATTTTCAAGCAGCGCTAAGATCCCCAACTTCCGTTTGAACCTTGTGTGGGGGAAAAGTATTGCCATGGGATTTTTTTTATGAAAATAAGGTTGGTGTACGGTGTCAGACCCCAACTTTAAACATATTTATAAACAAAAATCCGTGCTATATCCCACCTGAATTTTTTTGTCACGTGCACCACGGTGTGTTTATAAAACATGCGATTGTCTTTTATTTCTTGATTAGGATATGAAGATGTAAAATTCAGTGACGGAAATAATATCTTTTTTTTTTGGCATGAAATCGTCCAATAATTGTTTGCCTCGCTCCGATCGGCGGTATATATAACGTGTTTGGCAATTACGCTCCCTTTCAAAAATCCTGGATCGGCCCCTGAAACTCATGCAAAGTGTCTATGACTGTTAAATTAAAAAGCGTTAAAAGTTATTCGAATGGATTTATAGTATAAAAACGTTTGAGTCGTATGCAACTTTTAGGTTTATAGACATACATGTATCTGAAAACTGGCTGATAGCGGAGTGGCTGCTAGCCACTAGCGAGTGGCTGCTAGCTTGAGTCTATCTCAAAGAGGGGGTGTTTCTCCTTCTCCAGCATTGACACAGGTTATCGTCATAGTTTATCCTTTCTATAATTTTTATACTTGCAATTCTTTGATTATAAAGTCACTTATTCTCAGTTTAGTAAAGCATTTTCTTATTGAGTACTCATGAAGCTAAATAAAGTTTTCCATAAAGTAACAATTTACTTTTTTCATCATAACTATTAAAAATATTTAAAATATTATATTTCTCTTTTATTTTACTAACGCAAAGGCTTTAACGACAATATATTATTTAAGTCTCTACAATTAATAACTTTATCTAAAAGGTCTGGGTTGGCCGAAATTTTTGACATTTGTATACAAAGAATTAGTACCATGCGAGTAAATCATTATAAAATTGGGAATGGAAATGGGGAATGTGTCAAAGAGACAACAACCCGACCAAAGAGCAGAAAACAACCCAAGGCCACCAATGGGCCTTCAACACAGCGAGAAAATCCCGCACCCGGAGGCGGGCTTCAGCTGGCACCTAAACACAAATGTGTACTAGTTCAGTGAAAATGGACGTCACACTAAACAGTCTTTTAATGGGCTTCCGTCGACATATGAACTTTTATACCTTACAATGCGGTATGGGTTTTGCTCATTGTTGAAGGCCGTACGGTGATCTATAGTTGTTAACTGCTACGTAAGTTGGTCTCTGAAACACAAGGATACACAGAGAATTAACAACAAATCTTACTGTTTTTCTTGATTGCCACAGGCACATAAAAAAGTTGTTGTAGACTAATGGCATAAGTGAACGACCATTAAACTTTGAAGGGAGGTGGGTGTTTATGGTTATTTTTCCGTTCTGTAATATTTTTATTTTTTGTACCACGTAAGCATTAAAACATATTTGTATCGAAAACAAATTGTGTAAGGACTTAACATTAAATCAAATGGCAAAAACTTTCAAATATTCTTTATTTCTCCCTGATCAAAATATCATATTTCTTTAGAGTTGGGTATCAAACTACTTTTGTTAAGCAAAAAAACATAAAACCATACACTCCCTCCCCCCTTCACAATTATATATTCGTTCCCTAATGATTAATTCATCCGCGCAGTTCTTTTAAATTTATAAGCTTAAACGTAAGTCTTTGGACTTTTTAAATTCAATTTAAAAGTTTTGTATTTTTTCCCTGGTATTTTATCACAATTATTTATTCATATTATTACCAAACGCTACAAATTTTTTTAACAAAGGTCTTTAAACATTCAAACGTAAAATAAAACTGGATTAAACTAGACAAGAATAATTGTTACATTCTTGCATACTTGTGTGAAACCAAGAAGATGGCCATTGGTTAAATCTTAACATACTACTTGATTAACTACCAAAGTATGCTTGCGCTAATTACAATACTAAATGTCGCATTTTTGATGGCGGAAGGTCCTCAATGGCAGAGTGGTCTTAATAATCATCTACGATTGACCACAGTCTATAGCCTGCCAACACTGAGGTTGTGAGTTCGAGCACCGCACTAGGTAGGTGCGTAAGACCCCAATCTTAATAGACTAGGATTGCCAATTTTCCTGCCGAAAGTCCGTGGTCCTCTCCGGGAATTCCGGCTTCCCAATAAAAACTCACCGCCACGAAAATGCCAATAGTACTGAAGGTAAAAGTACTTCTTGTCCATCAATTGTGGAAATTAATAAATAACAATTTAATTGAACTTTGTTCCAAAATTTAAAAAATCATTGATAAGAATTTTCATTTAGCTCGTCAATGCATTCCTTTATTCTTCGACGTAAGACTGTGTTCTCTTTGTGGGATTTAAAAAATAGAGAATTGTAGACAAAAAGTGAAGCATTTAAAAGGACAAAGTAAAATAAAAATAGACAGAAAAATGGGTTAAAAAATAAAGAATAGAGAATAATGGGGTGCTAAAATATAAAAAATAGAGAAAAATGGTCTATCAAATAAAAGAATAAAGTAATAAAGGATCCCCCATCCAGACCCTCATACTAATTATCTCGAAAAGAATCATTGCTTTTTTCAAAAAGCAATAATTATTGTAATTTTTCTCGCAAGTGACAGGAAAATCCTTCTGACAATTAAAGGAGATAATTAGTGAAGACTGCATATAACCCAAATAATGTCAGTTGTTATATTCTGCCGATCTCCGACTGATTTCCGTTTGCTACATTAACCTCGATAGGCTATATAGACCGCTAGAGGGCGCAGACTCATTCGAGTTAGAATTCGTATGACTTAATAACTAAATATCAATGGAAAACAAAACTACTTAAAGTTTTTATTTTAACGCAAGAATATAAGTAAGGTTCGGGTCATGCATCTGGGCATCCTGCCCCTCCCAGATTATCAAATGGTCGTCCCATTACCTGGGCATCCTGCCCCTCCCAGATTAGCAAATGGTCGTCCCATTACCTGGGTATGTATTCTCAACAGGTGGTACACGTAAATGTAATATTTATAGATCATAAAACTTGTTATGATATATCAGATAAAAATTTAAAGCATGGTTAATCAGATGACCAATGCAAATTAAATGTTTAATTCCTACGGCAATGGTGTTACATGTACATATTAATTACTAGACTAAGTATACTAGTATATTATTCAAAACGTTTGTGGAATATAATAAATTAGTACTTTGCCTAAATATATAGCATCTCCCTCTCTCTCCTTTCTGTTTTCAACTTTCTCTCTCTCTTTCTCTGTTTTTTTTTTCTTGTTTTTCTTCTAGTAGAAAGTAATGCATCTATAAATTGAATTTTTCTTTCATCTATAATTTCCCATGTGTATTTTATAATAAATAATGTAACAAGTAGTTTTTTATATATATTTATATATATATATATCTTGGCAGGCGTGTTAGCACATACCATATCCATAAAGAATATATAACAATTTGACAAGCAAAAAGTTTGTAAGAGCATGCTCTTGTTTAATAATTTCGCATCTATGTTCTTGAATGCATAATATATGTTCAACGCTTGTGAACATTTCTTTCATGCCCTTGAAGATTTTCAGCTGCATTTACAGTCTTTTTATTTATTCTTATAAGCATAATATAAATGTTTCAACGCTGATATGTGTGATTTTAAAATATTCCGCGTTGCCCTGCTATCAGTCAATTATTGTACAAATAAAAGGATAAATATAATAATGTGTTGCTTTCCTATTTTTTTTTTCTATGCATGTATACAAAAAGCACTCCGTTATCAAGCTGTTATTTTGAACGAAAATTAAAACAAAAATTACTGTTAACAGGTCATTTTGGAGTCCCTTACAAGGTTGAACGTTGTTTTATGATGTCCTGTATACATACATTTAAGGTCATATTATTTACCAAAACACTACTGTTCTTGGCCAAATATTTATTGACTAGATCAATTGTTAGAAGCTGCCAATAAAACTATCATTATCGGAACAAATTTTAAATGTATTCCAATAAAACTATCATTATCGGAACAAATTTAGTGTTTGCCAAACTGCTATATATCCCATGATAATCCTGTGAAGTATGTGGTTCAAATTTTTTGATTTTTTTTTAATTTTTGTCAACAGTCAAAGTAAATATTTTGTCAAAATTTTATGAAAATTAAACGAGCCAAAACTGTTTTAGTCAAACAAAAAGTGTAGGGTACCCTCTAAGGGGCTGTGAATACTGCATACTAAATAGAATACAAAGACAGCATATTTTTACATACATGTATGATAGATTATTATCTTTGGTTAATGGCAACATTTGGTATATAGCTGGTTCGGCATCATTAAATTTGGCGTTTAATTTTTTCTGTTTAAAATTACTAATTAAATTGTATTAAGCGAAAGCTCGGAGCAGTCTCCGGGTTGTATATATAAGAAACAAAGCTGTAATTATCAGTATTCTGAAATTTCACAGATTCTAGCAAAGCAGATTTTGAAAATGCAGGTAAGATTTGATTTATTTAGGTTGTAAATATTTTCAATTTTTTTTTTTTCTCTCCAGACAAACAATTGTTTTTTCTCGACTCTAATAAAAAAAAGACATTTTATTCAAATAGATACATGAACAAGAATTTGTTTTTTTTTTCACCAAATATTTAATGGAAACAAACCATGATTTTTTTGATTTTTTTCATTTCCCTTCTGAAACATTTTTTTAAACCTCGCCCCCCGCAAAATATGAAAAGTCAAGTCGGTATCAAACTACTATAATGTGAATAAAGGTCACATCTCCTATAAGGTTAATTTTATATGGTTACCATTATATACATGTTTTACTGTAGTTTCACCAGAAGTTAAAAATAAGGATATTAAGTGCCAGTCTGCCTAAGAATCAGGCAGTGGTGAAAACCTGATTAACCAAAACCCACTCAAGTTGACATTGATTTATGTTCAAAATGTATAATGATGCACGAATAAAACATTTGTTTCCTTTTCTTGTTCTGGTAATTCAAGATATAATTTGATTGAAATGCACTAGAAATTAACAATTAAGGGGAGCTAACTCCATAATTTGCTATCATTCTAACCAAAAGTTATCTTCAGATTTCTCGAAATACCAGACACGCAGCAACAAAATACCTACCATTTCTAACTAAGGATGAGGGTAACTTCAAAATATGATGGTTAGGTCGGTGGGTTTTGTTCGGCCATGTTTTAATGTTTTTCTAAATTGCCTGATTCTTACAAAGACTGGCACATAATGTGCATGGAGTAATTAAGGATGTTCGCTCCTCTTGTTTTTGAATTTTTGTCAGATATTCGGAATCCTCTGGTTTTATCCATGTAGTGCCATCAAAATTTTTGGCCGCTTACCACTACTTATCATCTCACAATTTTATTACCTATATTTTAAAAAGCCATATTTGAAAATCTTATAAAATCCTTGTTATTTTTCCCACTTTGTTTTAGACTTGAAACGATTAAGAAAGTAATATATTGTGTAGACACATGTCTATTACTGAAGACTTTATGATGACTTTTAGATGTCTTTTGTTTATTTGTGTTGCTGGGTTTCTATGCCATTGACAGACTGGTATATCCCACATCTTCTTTTATCTGATTCATGATAATTACTTATATAAGTCTTGAAATCAAATATTGCTAGAAATATTGCTAGAATACTCACTTTTAATCATTGTTTTAAATTAAATCGAAGCCGAACATCCAAAACGTGAGTTAAAAAACACCATTTTTAAAATTAATAGTATCTGATTTTCTCTTTAAAAGGTGCACAAGGCATACTTTTGTTAATGAAACTATTTCGATTTTATTGACATAAAAAGCTTTTGATTGAAACATTTAATGACCAGAGAAAAGATGAAATAATTGTAGTTCTATTCTAATTCGCTTGATTCAAGTTATTTCCCTAACCAGAAAGGTACTCTTTTACTGTAGTTATCGGATGATAGGAGAGAATTTTTTAAATTTTACAAAATTGAAAGCTAATTTACTTTCCTGTGATACTTATAGGTTTCATAACGAGTGAGAATGGGATATCGCTTGATATCAACTCGAGTTATTTAATTTCAATATAATAATGAACGAGATTTTGGCGCGTTTGTTATTACTATTTAAATTAAATAACGAGAGTTGATATCAAGCGATATCCAATTTTCAGATGTTGTTAGAGCTATTTCTCTTATGGTCAACAATCTCAATGTGTTAAATTACAAATTCCGCGAAATGTTGATCTGGTCTTTTGCACATTCCAGTATGACGTCATATGTCCTTTTCCGGTGTCAAACTTTAACATCAGACAACTTAAGACTTTTGTACGCTTCAGAATGTAATAAAATTTGACAAAAAGAAGATAGTCAGGTGAAATGTGTGAGTGTTTTGTATATTATTGAAGAAATCACACATGTTCGTTGCCATGGACGAAATGTACATCGCCAGGCGTCTTAACCTTTCAAATTCATCAATGACCTATAAGGAGTAGCCAATGGAAATGCCGTAATATCGTCTTGTGATGCTAGAGAAGCCAATCATGACAAATTAACGCAGATTTTCGGATCACTTTTTCGTATCACACTCCGTGCAGTGCGATACGAGAAATATCTATGCATGCACGAAATAAATAACAGGCCACAACCATAAAAGAATGTGATATATCAGTAAATAACAGATTAACTGAAAATAATACTTTGAAATGAGCGTTGTGTGAGACAAATTTAGAACAAATTGACCCTAACTTTTCCCTTTCCCAATCCCCTTAGGGAAGGAAATGTAAGGAAAAGTATTAACAAAATCAAAACAACGTGCCTAAGTAAAATAAAATTTGGTTAAATTCACTTGACAAATACTAAATGCCTTAGAATAAAACATCAGTTGAAAAATACTCTATCAGTTGACAATAGAAATGTAAAATTTAATTCACGTTCACTGGATTTCACCACACAAAAAAATAAGGGTATGACTCATAATGAGACAATTATTTACCTGAGTTCAAATAACGTGGATGTGAGCAATTTCATGTCGCCGTACGGCCTTCAACAATGGGCAAAACCTATACTGTAAAGTGAGCTATAACAGTCTCCGACATGACAAAGTGTGGAACAATTTAAATGCGAAAACCAACGGTCTAAGTTAAATCAAAACAATTTAAAAAAAACAGGTATTACAGACATACACCATCGAAAACCACTGAATATAACAGGCTCCTGATAGGGACAGGCATATTCGGAATGTGTTGGGTTTAAACGTCAATAAGTGTTCAATGCTCCTGTTCTTGGTAGCTGTACATTTATTATATATACTGACTGACTTTAAAAACGCAACACTCATTTTGTTGATTTTTTTTTACTAAATCATGTTTGATTCTCATACAACTACTTTTCATGCTTATCATACTTCTTTCTCTTTAGAAAAAAATCATTATCTGACTTACCTGTGGTTATTGAACATTCCAGAATTTTGAAGTCGCACGAATTTCTGAAAGCGAAATTTGGAACCAATAAAATATTTTTTCAGTTTTTTTTTGCTTCTTGAAACAGCTCTTGCAATCCTTGGCCACAGTTAAATCAGTTTAAAAATGTTGCATCTCCATATTGCCAAGACTGAGGAATAAAAAACTGAATCAGCCCATAAGAATACTGCGAACAGAAAAACGTGACATTCTGGAACCACAGTTTGACTTCAGAAACTCGTCTTACTGTCATTCGGACAATGATACAGGTAGACGGGATTTGATGCTGACCACCGATGACCAGATCAACATGTTGTGACAATGCAACGTCAAAAGAATTTGATCACGCAACGTCATTTGTGATTCATGTTTACGGCCGCAACGTAAACTGCTTATCAAATTGTCGAATGCCATTGCGCACAGATTCTTGCCATAAATGTTTCCCAAAAACCGAACTTCTAAAGAGTCGACTCAAGAAAAACTTTTAAAGCCCTAAAGTTTAAACCGCGTTATTGCCAAAACCTATTGTAATGGGTGGAACAAAGCAAAATCAGAAGGTGTAAAACAGAACCTACATTGTAAAACATGTCAAAAAGAATTGGTTGACCATTCTGACAATTATTTTCAATTGGTGTTTGTTACAGGCAGTCATTGCCTTTGACGGTGCCACATTTATTCCAAAATTTAGAAAGAATGATCTAGTGTTGCGTTTCTAAAGTCGGTCAGTATATGTAGATAGCATATAGCTATAAGACTTAGTACATATGTATGTAGAAATATGCAGGTGTAAAGTACTCATGTTTTAGTACACAAAACGTGAGTTCACACGTACCTGTAAGTATGTATGTGTTTAGAAAGTACGTTTTAGTGCACAGAACTACGATTTTTTTTTTCAAAAGTGAGAAAGATTGTCATCACAAACATTTCTAATCATCCAATCAGTATATTTATATCAAATAAGCTCAGCATGCAGTGAATTTCAACACTTAAAACACACCATAGCGCATGATCATGTTCTTTCCTTGTAAAAAGTCAATCAAAAGACAAAATCGTAAATCTACATCGAAAGTACTGTTTACGTTTATTTTTATTATTTCAGACCAAAGTTCTCGTTGTTATGTTGATGGTAGCTATGGTGCTAATGGTAGAGGTCAAAGGTGCACAATTGACGAGAGACTGTCTGGACATCTGTCGCCGAAGAATTGACAGATGTAAATCAAATTGTAACCAGGACTACAAGAACAAAAACAAAAGGAAGAAGTGCAAGGACGTCTGTAGAAAATCTGATAGACAATGTAAAAAGTTCTGCCGCAACGACGACCCGACCGATGATTTTACTTACGATTACTAACACTGTTGTGTAATGAGTGGTTCTTGAACATGCCTTGGTGTGTTTAATTGACTTTCTATTTCTGTTTAACCTGACGTATAAAAAAATAATTGGGAAACAAAATGTAAAATGGTTTACATACGTGTTTTCTCCGTGTATTCGTTTCATACTTTGAATAAAAGCATATGAATACTTATTATAACTTTTATATATTATTCTTCTCCCCAAAATATATATAATCGGAAAAGGTTCAAACTGAGCATTGTGATTGCATACAGACCAGTGTTGTAATGTTACACTGCTGTCTTAGGTTAGGGTGAAGGTTGGCAACTGTTAAAACATTTAAACCCGCTGCATTTGTATGCAAATGTCCAAAGTCAGGAGCCTGTTGTTCAGTGCTTGTCGTTTATTGGTGTGGTTCATAATTGTTTCTTGTTTCTCGTTTTATAGATTAGACAGTTGGTTTTCCTGTTTGAATTGTTTTACACTAGTCATTTTGGGGCCCTTTATAGCTTGCTGTTCGGTTTGAGCCAAGGCTCCGTGTCGAAGGCCGTACTTGGACTTATAACTGTTTACTTTTTATGCATTGTGACTTGGATGGAGAGTTGTCTCATTGGCACTCATACCACATCTTCTTAATTATACTTGAATTGTGAAAATTTCCCATTAACGTGTATAATGTAAAGTGTGTAGTGAATGGTGAATGACGGTCCGAGTACACAGTTATTTCGTAGTGCATTTCTTTTAGACAATAAATGAAAAACATCCCACCTGCGCTTTCTCAATAATATTTTTACAGTGTGTTGTACTACTTTTGGGACAAATTATATCTAAATTAAAGAAAACTTCATCGGCTCTAACTCAAAATATGGACAATTTTATGTTAAGGGGGTCTTGAAATCTTTTGACAGCTTCCGAAGTGCTAATTTTTAACCTTTTTCAGCTGGACCAAATCACTACTTTACTTTAAAATTCATGACCCATAATTTTTTTTACAGTGTAATTTCACCCCCCCCCCTCCCCCTTACTTGCTATTTGAGGCATAAAACATGGAGAAATAAATTTGGAAGGGGTATAAAAAAAACTGGCAAGTAACACACTGTCCGCACTAGGGACTATATGGACAACGAAAAAAGATAACTGTGTACTCGGACCTGATGATTGATAGATGTTGTATGGTTTTAAAATTTAAGGTTTTATAAAAGATATATAAAAACTTCCATTTTTTTCAAACACTGTACATTGTGGTTAATTTTGAACAATGTAGTTTGTATTGTGTATAGGGAAGTAATTGGTGTTTCTCGTTTCTCGTTTTTTATATAGATTAGACCGTTGATTTTCCTGTTTGAATTGTTACACAAAACGTGAGTTCACACGTACATATAAGTATGTATGTGTTAAGTACGTACGTTTGAGTGCTCAGAACTACGATTTTTTTTTCAAAAGTGAGAAGGATTGTCATCACAAACACATACATACTTATATGTACTTATATATAAACACAACGACATGGCAGTTAGCACGGTTTAAGAAAATCCGTTGTTTGACCTGCTAGTCAAATGTTTTGTTAAAATATACTTTTTCACTTTTTTGGTCTTTTGGAAAATATTGTTTGTGCTGTATTTAGACCCATCTACCAAGAAATTTGTTTTGCATGCACACGTATAAAAATTGCGGTTTTTATCCAACGCCATCATAGGTTTGAACGTTGTTTTCAATTTAGACTTGCTTATATATAAACAATACATACTTATATGTACGTGTGAACTCACGTTTTGTGTAAAAAACGGTCTAATCTATATAAAAAACGAGAAACGAGAAACACTTATTAAAAGTTTAAACCTTTCAAGTACTGTAACTGGCAATTTGAAATTAACCTATCTAAGAGGTTTGATGGCTTTTTAGTCTTTAATGGTATATAGACTTTAATTGCGGAATATACATGTAACTCTCGAGTCAGTAATGTGTTTGTAGTTGTTGGTTTCATCAAATGAATGCTTTATATATATAAAAACAAGATGTTGTATGATTGTCAATGAGATAACTTTTCATTAAAGACCAAAATAAAAGACAAAGGTGTGGTTAATAACAAATCATCGTAACAATCGGCTTTCAACAATGAGCAAAACCCATGCCGTATGGCAACTTATAAAAGGTACCGGGATGACAAAATGTGAGACAATTCAAAAGAGAAATCATCGAATTGATTTATACTACGCCAAAGCTTGCAATATAATAATGACATGTGCCAACAAAGTCAACGATAACCATTAGCTAACAGGCTACTGGCTTCGAAAAAACACATTCAAAATGTAAAAATCACTTGCCGGAAAGAGTTTGAGTCATCATATCGGTACTAAGCACAATAAAAAGGGCGTAAACACAATGTACCGATATATTAGGAGAACTCAGTTACCGAAAGTCCAATTTGAACTTATAAATAGATATAAAAATAAGAAGATGTTGTATGATTGCAAATGAGACCAAATTACATAAAAGTTAACAACTATAGGTCACCGTACGGTCTTCAACAATAAGCAAAATCCATACCGCATAGTCAGCTATAAAAGGCCCCAAAATGACAAATGTAAAACAATTTTGACGATAAAACAAACCATCTGATCTATGTGCAAAACAATGAACGAACAACAAATATGATAAGCGACAAAAAACGACAACCACGGGATTACAGGATCCTGACTTGGGACAGGCACATACAGAACCTTGATTTCTCAGACTAAAACTAATGAAGAATTAAATACTAGTTATCGCGTTAATTAAAAGCTTGAAAGTATTTATCAATAGGATTGACACAAACGCATCAGTGAGTTTTAAAAGTTTTGTCCCTTAACCTTGTCTATATCCATAGGAGTTTTGTCCCTTAACCTTGTCTATATCCATAGGAGTTTTGTCCCTTAACCTTGTCTATATCCATAGGAGTTTTGTCCCTTAACCTTTTCTATATCCATAAGAGTTTTGTTCCGTTACCTTGTCTATATCCATAGGAGTTTTGTCACTTAACCTTGTCTATATCCATAAGAGTTTTGTCCCTTAACCTTGTCTATATCCATACGAGTTTTGTCTCTTAACCTTGTCTCTATCCATAAGAGGTTTGTCCCTTAACTTTGTGTATATCCTTAAGAGTTTTGTCCCTTAACCTTGTCTATATCCATAAGAGTTTTGTCCCTTAACCTTGTCTATATCCGTAAGAGTTTTGTCCTTTAACCTTGTCTATTTCCATCAGAGTTTTGTCCCTTAACCTTGTCTAAATCCGTAAGAGTTTTGTCCCTTGACCTTGTCTATATCCATAGGAGTTTTGTCCTTTAACCTTGTCTATATCTATAAGAGTTTTGTATCTTAACCTTGTCTATATCCGTAAGAGTTTTGTCCTTTAACCTTGTCTATATCCGTAAGAGTTTTGTCCTTTAACCTTGTCTATATCCGTAAGAGTTTTGTCCTTTAACCTTGTCTATATCCGTAAGAGTTTTGTCCTTTAACCTTGTCTATATCCATACGAGGTTTGTCCCTTACCTTGTCTATATCCATAGGAGTTTTGTCCCTTACCTTGTCTATATCCATAGGAGTTTTGTCCCTTAACCTTGTCTATATCCATAAGAGTTTTGTCCTTTAACCGTGTCTATATCCATAAGTGTGTTGTCCCTTAACACTGTCTATATTCATAAGTAAAATTGAGAATGGAAATGGGGAATCTGTGAAAGAGACAACAACCCGCCAAAGAGCAGAAAACAGCCCAAGGCCACCAATGGGTCTTCAACACAACGAGGTAATCCCACACCCGGAGGCGGGCGTCAACTGGCTCCTTAACAAAAATGTGTACTAGTTCAGTGAAAATGGACGTCAAGTGATTAGTCATATGTTTTACTATGGTATCTGTTTGGCACTGTTCGGACATTTTAATTAAAATCTGGTCAGTATATTTTCATATTTTTTTCAGATATTTTCATAATGGTATGCGATCCTTAAGACCGTAAAAAGATTTACTTCCATGAGCAACACAATGGGTGTCACTAATAAATCAGGAACTGCTTACATTTCTTGATTTCACCCCTGTTTTTTTTTGGGGGGGGGGGGGGGGGGTTAAGGGGTAGGGGGAGGGAGATGGCTTGGTTATTGTTCTCGATCTAAGTTCATTTCCATGTAATGTAATGTTTTGTTATGATTGTTTGTCTTTTTAGCGTTTTTCTTTTTGGCATGATGTTGTTTGTTTTATTAGACTTATATGTTATGGTGTATTTTTTCTGATTATACTTCTATCGTTTTTATTGTAATGTCAATTTTTTAAGTGGTCATAAAAGCTACAGATGTATTGGAATAAGTAAATCGCATGGTAAAATTATATTTGAAATCTGAAAGTGACAGATGAGAAGAAATTAGTCTGCGGAATTTATTTAAGACTCACATCTAGCCTTTTGGTGTTTACAAGGCTTTCCAAAGAGGAAGCGGCGATGGACTTTTCTTACTGGTGTACTTTTTATGATGTTCTGAAAGCAGATAATTTAATTGTATGTGTAACACTGCGATTTGTTATTCAATTTCACAATGAAAACACTGTCCAAACATTTGTGCTTAAAATACTTTTAAATTTATTCAGTTAATTTCCGATAATATATTAAAGGTATAGCATTATCTATAAAGAATAATGAATATTGTAAGAGACCACACCAACCTTCGACATGTGCCACCTACAGTTGTTTCCATTCGTTTGATGTGTTTGAGCTTTTGATTTTGGCATTTGATAACGGACTTTCCGTTTTGAATTTTCTTTGGAGTTCGGTATTTTTGTTATTTTACTTTCTACGAGAAAATAAACGTAGAAACAAAGAAAATAACACATCGTCCAGATATAGAGCCTTGCTTAATACAGGAGCATGTTAAACCAGTTGCATGTGCAAATAAACATCAACATTGTTATGGGGATGTATACGTCAATAAGACAGGTAAATACCAATTATTTATTTGATTAAAGTGTGACCATTCATTACAATATCTATATATATATATTGTTCGACATGTTAGTCAAATGCGTTTTGTTTAAATATACTTTTTCACTTTTTTCGTCTTTTGGAAAATGTTGTTTGTGCTGTATGTAACCCCTCTACCAAGAAATTTGTTTTGCATGCACACGTAGAAAGATTGCGGTTTTTATCCAACGCAATCATAGGTTTGAACGTTGTT